TCATTGTTGTTTGGCGGGTCCGGGCTGGGGATTCGAACCCGCCACCTTAGGTGTACGTGGCTGGCGCCTTAGCCCGTTGAGCTATAGGCGCCGAGCCACCTATGGCTCTTATAACAAAGTACTGCAAACAAGATGGCTTAAAACAACAGAAATATACTGTCTCACAGTGCTGGAGGCTAGAAATACAAGCTGTCAACAGGGCCGTGCTCCCTCTAAAACTCTGGGTAAAATCTTTCTTTTCATCTTCCTAGCTTCTGATGGTGGCTGTCAGTCCTTGGTGATCTTGCCAGTCTCTACCTCTGTCTTTATAAGTTGTCTCTCCTTGTGTGTTTGTCTTCATGTGGTATTTTTCCTCTTATAAGGGCATCAATCATACTGGATTAGGACCTACACTAGTGATCTCAATTACATCGGCAAAGACCCTGTTCCCAAATAAAGTCACGTTTACAGGTACCTGAGGTTAAGACTTCAACATGTCTTGTTGAGAGAGACACAGTTTCAGCCTTAACAGCATGTATATTCCACATTTTATTTACCCATTCATGAGCTGATAGACAATTGGGTTGTTTCTACTTTTGGCCTATTGTGAATAATACTGCTGTGAACATTAGTATACAGGGTTTTGTGTGAATATATGTTTTCATTGTCTTGGGTATACACCTAGCAAAACTTCTGGGTCATAAGATAACTGTACGTTTAACTTTTTGAACAACTGCCACACTTTTCTTCTTCTTTTTTTTTTTTTTTTTTTTTTTTTAGCAGTTTTTGGTCGAGGCTGGGTTTGAACCCACCACCTCCAGTATATGGGGCTGGTGCCTTACTCCTTGAGCCACAGGCGCCGCCCCAACTGCCACACTTTTCCAAGCCAAACTGTACCATTCTACATCCCCACCAAAAATGTATGAGGGTTTCAATTTTTCCACATCCTTGTCGACTCTTGTTATTGACTGTCCTTTGGACTACAGCCATCCTATTACCTATTATTTACCTATTATTCTGATACTATACTAAGGTGAAATGGTGACTTGTTGAGATTTAGATTTGTATTTCCAGATGGCAAATGAGATGAACATCTTTCTATGGCTTATTGTCTGTTTCTGGGGTTTTGGTTTTGTTTTTTTCTGGAGAAACACCTACTCAAATCTTTTGCCACCTTCTTTTTTTTTAAGATGAGGTCTTGCTATGTTTATATTCCTGCTATATTTATGTTGCTGAGGCTAGTCTTGAACTAACACCTCGGCTCAAACAATACTCCTGCCTTAGCCTCCCAAGTAGCTGGATTTATGTGCTCAAACACCCAGCAAAGTATTTTAGCTATTTTTTCTGGGATTAACCTTCATGTTTCTAAATAACGTGTTCCAACTGCTATTTACTTTTTCCTCTTTGGAGATGTTATTTATTGACTTCTAACTATGGAAGGTAAAGACGAAGCTTCATCACACCTCCTATTCTCTCAGTATATAAATTTTGGCAAATCAGTTTTCATCTTTGATATTATTAGTAAATAACAATTGCTCACAGCTGAGCCATCTAATGCTTGATTACATTGCCTTTCTCTTAGTTTTTCTTGAAATAAATAACTGCCTTATAATATTAAGCACTATTTTTGGACTTAAGTGTGAAATGACTTCAGCCTATTACTAAAGCCTCTTTATAATTTTACTAAAATACCAAGTTCTTTTCTCTTTTTAAAAAATTTTTTTCTTTCTTTTTTTTTTTTTTTTTTTTTTTCTGACAGATTCTCACTTTATCACCCTCGATAGAGTGCTACGGCAGCGTCATACAGCTCACAGCAACCTCCAACTCCTGGGCTTAGGTGATTCTTTGGCCTCAGTCTCCCAAGTAACTGGGACTATAGGCGTTCACCACAACACTCGGCTATTTTTTTTTGTTGCGGTTTGGCAGGAGTCAGATTTGAACCTGCTACCCTTGGTATATGGGGCCAGCGCCCTACTCACTGAGCCACAGTCACCGCCCTTAAAAATTTTTTTTTAAATTTATTTTATTTGTATTTCATAATAGTATGAGAATACACACATTTTGGTTACATAGTTTGTTTGTTTGTTTTTGCAGTTTTTTTTTTGGCCAGGGCTGGGTTTGAACCTGCTACCTCCAGCATATGGGGCCAGCGCCCTACTCCTTTGAGCTACAGCGCCACCTTCATAGTTTGTTTTTGTATATTTTAAGTCAAAGTTATAATTGTGCCCCTCACCCAAATCTTTTTTTTTAATTCAGACTAAGAATATTCATAAATCTCTGCATTCCACTTCTTTAAGAAACTGCAATTAAACTTGCTTAAAATATCTGAAATGCCTTCCTTCTAGACTCTAAGATGTAATAAGTGAAAAAAAATGTAATAAGCGCATGATTGAAAGCCTCAATATGTTAAGAAAAATGAGAATAGTTACAAGCCAGATGGTAAAGTTGGTTAACTTAGCAGACTGGTTTTTAGCAGGAGAATCATTAACTTTTTAGCCATCCTTATATTATTTGCTTCAAAGAACTTTGTATTTTTATAAATAAAGCTAAAAAATGTTTTAATTTAAAGGTAAATAATCAAGCCCTGGTTTTTTCCCCTATTTTAAAAAATAATGTCAGAAACAAACAAAGAAATACTGTTTAATCCTTATACTTATGTAAAATATGAAATTTTTTCTTTTGAGGTCTGAATTCTCGTTTTCTTTACAGGTTTTACAGCTCTTTAAAACATTGCACAGGACCAGACAACAAGTTTTTAAAAATGATGCCAGAGCGTTAGAAGGTAAGTATATGTTTTACCCCATGGGACCAAGTCTATTCTTTTTTTTTTAATTTTAGAGACAGAGTCTCACTTTATCACCCTTGGTAGCATCACAGCTCACAGCAATCTCCAACTCCTGGGCTTAGGCAATTCTCTTGCCTCAGCCTCCTGAGTAGCTGGGACTACAGGCGCCCGCCACAGTGCCTGGCTACTTTTTTGTTGCAGTTTGACTGGGGCCAGGTTCAAACCCAGCACCCTCGGTATATGGGGCTGGTGCCCTACCCACTGAGCCACTAGATTAGGTAGCTACTAATCTATCTGAGAGCCTTATGTGGTCAAGACCCTTTTTTTTTTTTATCCTTTTGGCTGAACTTTATTTATATATCTGCCCTAATTCTTATATTCTTCTCTCATATAAAAGGCAGCATTATCCAGTCATTCAAGCCAACCCTCCTGCTCCTTCATCAGCCCCCAACCACTAGTCATCAAACATTAAAAGACATCTTCCTAAATTTTTCTGGAACGGATTTCTTCTCTATTAGAGTTCTCTTTTGGAAGTCCATTTCTTCGTGAATCTGGCATATGAGATTTTAATTGCTCTGCTGCATTTTTCTCTTCAGTCAGTGGTGACAGCTCTAGGTCTGTTTGCGTTTGTAGTTGTTGTATCATGTTCATAGTCTTATTATTCACAGTAGCACAAATGCGGCTCAACAGCAACTAGTTTGAAGCCTGCATACAAAGTTTGATATCGAAACTTTATCGCTGATATTTCCTTTAACAGTATAACTGGACTTTTCTGTAATCGAGGACTTTGGGCGGCTGAGGCAGGAGGATCACTTGAGGTCAGAAGTTTCGGACCAGCCAGAACATTAGCCAGGTGTGGTGGCACACACCTTTAATCCCAGCTACTCAGATCCCAGGCTCAGGCAGAAGGATCAGTTGTGCCCAGGAGTTCATGGTTACTGTAAGCTATCATTGCACTCTATCTGGGAAGCAGAGCTAGAGATCCTCACTTGCTGAATCAAGATGATTAGTCTTGATTTCGTATTCCAGCCTGTACTGAATGTAATCCAGATCAGAGTCAGCTTTCTGGAACATCAGTTCCAGCTTATCGACCTCCGCCTCCATGTTGAATAGTCCCCATCTTGAAAATGATCTTCACTCTCTCTCTCCCTTAATGTTATATTTTATAAAGGTTTGTTTACATTACACTTCCTTGAGGAGTTAAGAAAATGTCTAAAAGATGAAATTTTCATAAAGAATTAGCAAAAGGGGGGGTAGAATTTCAGTATTTTCCATTGTTTGCCTTATGTTCAAGATATTAAACTTTCTCTGTAACATAATCAGATTTTCATACTCTCTAGGACCAGATACTACCGTGTTGTTAGTGTCTTGTGTCAGTCTAGAAGTCATAGCAGCTAGGACAGAGCATCCATTACAAATGATTTTAAATTCAGTATCTCGTTGGTTTAAGTAGTTTCTGTTTTTTCTGGTGGTCACAGGTTCTAAAGCTTAAATCCTATGTTAGTGATATTCAGTTCTGCTCCTCATACCTTTCTAAACCTCCATAAGAGGTCACCTAGGTAGTGTCCCAGTCCCCAGGAATGGTGTATATGTCATACTGTATGTACTTTACATGAATTCCTGATTTAATTCTTATAACATGGCTGTAAGATAGTTTATATTATAATCCCTATTTTTGAAAATGAAAAAACCGATGAAAGATTTGCCCCATGTCATACTTAGTAAGAGGTGGAGCTAAGGCAGAGGTGTGTGTTGATTTTATGAGGATTTACTTTGCTTCGCTGTGGTATCAGATTTCATGAAGATTATACATGGGCTTTTTTTTCTGGCTAATCAGCTGTCATCAGTGTTTGTGTATTTAATGTGTGCCCCAGACAACTCCTCTTCTTCCGATGTGTAGCAGAAAAGAAAAAAAGGTTGGACATCCCTGTTTAGCAATCTGATTCTAAAATGCAAATTTTTAACTACTTTACATCTTGAATGTATCAAGCATAGTAGGAAGTTTTATTGCTTTAAATTTTTTAAGTGAAATAACTATAAAAACAACTAACATTTATTATACATTTGCTAAGCACGTTATATGAATTGTTTTGTTAAATGCTCACAACACAATAAGGCCAGTCAGATTAAACTAAATTATGCTACTGTAATGTAGAGGTATATGTGAACATATTTTATTTATTGCTCATTTTACATGTCAGATAAGACACTTAAAATTTTACATATATGGCTCAGCGCCTGTGGCTCAAGCCGCTAAGGCTCCAGCCACATACACCTGAGCTGGCGGGTTCAAATCCAGCCTGGGCCCGCCAAACAACAATGATGGCTGCAACCAAAAAATAGCCAGGCGTTGTGGCGAGCGCCTGTGGTCCCAGCTACTTGGGAGGCAGAGGCAGGAGACTCGCTTGAGCCCAGGAGTTGGAGGTTGCTGTGAGCTGTGATGCCATGGCCCTCTACCCAGGGGGACAGCTTGAGGCTCTGTCTCAAAAAAAAAAAAAAATTATATATATACATAGACATATATGTATCCTTTTTGTTGCTATCTTTAAGTGTATGTATAGTTTAATACACTTGTATGTGTTGAGTTTTGCCATCATAAAAATCATTTTGGGTCAGGTGCAGTGACTCACACCTGTAATCCCAACACCTTGGGAGGCTGACGTGGGAGGATCGCTTGAGGCCAGTAGTTTGAGACCAGCTTGGACAACACAAGAAGGCCCCCATCTCTACAAAAAAATCAAAAAAAACCCAAACAAACAAAAATTAGCCAGGTATGCGTAGCAGATGCCCATAGTCCCAGCTACTCAGGAGGCTAAGGCAGGAGGATCACTTAAGCCCAGGAGTTGGAGATTACAGTGAGCTATGTTGACTTCATGTCACTCCAATCTGCGAAAAGGAGTGAGACTCTGCCTTAAAAAAAAGGGCACTTTTGGGTGGCGCCTGTGGCTCAGTGGGTGGCAGGTTCAAACCCAGCCCGGGCCAAACTGCTACAAAAAAATAGCCGGGCATTGTAGTGGGTGCCTGTAGTCCCAGCTACTCAGGAGGCTGAGGCAAGAGAATCACCTAAGCCCAAGGAGTTGGAGGTTGCTGTGAGCTATGATGGCACAGCACTCTACCAAGGGTTAATAAGTGAAACTCTGTCTCAAAAAAAAAGAAAGGGTACTTTAACCTAAATCCTTAGATGTATAGAAATAAAGGATTAAACTGGATTTATTAGAATCCAGTAGTTTTATGCACACAAATGAAGTCAGAAGTAAAAATCAGGGGGAAAAAAGTATTAGAGTACCAAAGGTCAAAAGTTTATAGTAGATTTGTTTACAAATTTGGCATCCTGTCAAAGATTCTTCAAGAGATTTCTTATGCTTTGTTTTTTATGGATACAAAATCATTTCCTATTCTAGAGAAGTAGTCATTCATATGAATAATATAATGAATAACATGTAAATCACTGAAACAAGAATTATAGATTAGAAAAACAAATAACTGTATATATTTTTTCCTCTCTCCAGCAGCCAGAATAAAAATAAATGAAGAATTCAAAAGTAATAAAAATGAGACTTCGCCTAAGAAAATAGAAGAGGTATAGTAATTGAGTTTTTTAATTATAACAAAACTCATAAAAGTTTCTTGGCAAGGAGGAAGTGATAAAAATAGAGGAGTTGAGTGAGATAAAATACATTATTTCATAGTTACAGCCATCACACTCGTAGATAACCTTCCCTTGCTTGGTATGGCTCACCTTCTCTGGGTCACCTGCTTATACCCAAAAGACAGCAAGTCATCCTATGAAAAGAATTTGAAAGTAGCCATGGTCAAAGCAAGAGCAGTTGGACCAACCTAGAAACCCACAGAAATTCTATCTTTACCTAAGGCAAGTGACTAAAACTAAGGAGAGTATTGTTGTAGTAACTCAGAATGACAGAGAGAACTTCTGCTCTTTCAGCTCAACTTGGCAATAGATTTTTTTTTTATTTTTATTTTGGCAATGACATAAATAGCCACAAACACCATGGATGGAAACAAATGAAGCCCTCCCAGCAACACCAATAAGCCAAACAAGTTGAAACTTGCATGCGTGAATCAGAAGGGTCACTGTCAGCATTATTTCTTGGAAGTGAAATAATGGACCGTAACACAGTCTGTCTCAAAATTTTTATAGTGACCCAAGTATATACATACTTATGATAGTTTAATTTATAAATTAGGCACGGCACACAATAATGCTTTGGGGGCATTATTAAGTAAAATAAGAGTTATTTGAACATAACGCAGTGCTACACGGCAGCAATTAATCTGATAACTGAAATGGCTACTAAGTGACTGAGGGGCAGGCAGTGTATCACGAATATGAGTACACTGGACAGATGTATGATTCACATCCCAGGCAAGATGAAATGAGACAGCATGAGAATGGCATGCAATTGAAAACTTATGAATTGTTTATTTTTGGAATTTTTCCATTTAATATTTTTGGACTACAGGTAACTAAACTGTGGATAAGGGGGAACTACTATATTACCTAAAAAGAAATTACAGTAAATGATAGTTTTTAAGAACAGTACATTAGTCTGAAACACTCAAAGGATTATTCTATTTGTTTGGTTTTCTTAACAGCTAGTGAAAGTAGGTTCCGATGTTGAATTGTTACTCAGAACATCTGTTATACAAGGTATTCACACAGACCACAATACACTGAGTAAGTAAAATTAAATAAAAATGTTTTCTGACTGCAATTTGTTTGAAAATATTGAATAATAACAGCACTTTTAATGCTGGGTAATGAAACAGCTTGATTTTGCCAGGCAACATGATATAGCTGGTATTGTATATATTGTAAATATATACAATAAAAGATTATATATATATAATCTTTTATAAACTGTTGTATATAACAGTTTACAGTGCTGAATTATGAAACTAGTTTTACCAGATTGTTTTTTCTTTTCAATTAATTTCTTTTTTATCTTAACTCCTAATTATACTGGAAAACTGCCGTTACCTATTTTTATCATATTTATTTACAGTTCTCAATTATGGGAGATCATTTATCACTTACCTAGACTCTCTATTTCAGTACCTTTTATTCTATAATTAATTGTTTTAATTCAGAATATTTTTAATTATGGGAAATGAAAATACAGTTAAAAATACTTCATTATGCTTCCAGACTTCTTATGGGACTTCAGCAAAATCTCATTTCACATTAAATTTTGGTTTTATTTCATAAAGTATCTTTGGGGACAACAACAGAAGATGACATTCAATAAGCTGGGTGTGTGTGGTGCCTCATATCTGAAATCCCAGCATTCTGGGAGGCCAAGATGAGAGGATCCCTTGAGGTCAGATGTGAGCTGTGTTCAGAATATGAGCAAGAATAAGACCCAATCTCTACTAAAAATAGAAAAATTACTAGCACTCTGGGAGGCCGAGGTGGGCAGATTGCTTGAGCCCACAAGTTCAAAACCAGCCTGAGCAAGAACAAGACCCTGTCTCAAAAAAAAAAAAAAATAGCTAGGCATTGTGGCAGCTTCTCGAATACTTGTGTAGTCCCAGGTACTCAGGCAGGGGACTTGGGAGGCTCAGGCAGGGGGATTGCTTGAGTCCAGGAGTTTGAAGTTCCTGTGAGATAATGATGCCATGGCCCTCTACCTAGGGTGATGTAGTAAGGCCCTGTCTAAAAAAAAAAAAAAAAAATTGTGGGAAAATTATTCAGAAAACCAAAAGATAAAAAGCAGTCTAACCCAATATTGTCATATCTAAAACCAGGCTTCTGAAATAGACACCAAATTTAGTTATTTGAAATAAGTTTTATTCACATAACAATAAAAATAATATTTAGTTGTGATTACCTGTATAAAATGTTGGCTTTATTAACACAGAAACTCTAAAGATCATTATTAAAATAATGATGGCAAGAGGATCACTTGAGCCCAAGAGTTTGAAGTTGCTGTGAGATATGATGCCATGACACTCTACCAAGGGTGACCGAGTAAAACTCTATCACAAAAAAGTAAAAATAGAAAAATTAGCTGGGCATGGTAGTCACTCCTTTCTCACAAGAGTAACCACTATCCCATGTTGACTTTTAACATCACAGATTTTGAGCTTTATATAATAAAGTGTTTCAGCTTTATGGACGTGGAGTCATATAGGATGACTCTTTTTCTGGCTTCTTTCTCTCAACATATTTGAGAGATTCACCTAGGTGTGTATAGTGATGTTGTTATGAATATTGTTTAAACATACTGTAATTTATCCTATTGTTGTTTGGGTTGTTTCCAGTTATGGGCTATAATGAATAATGATTTTATGAACATTCTACATGCCTTTTGGTGGGAAAAAATGTGTATATATTCAAAATATATACACATTTATATATTTTATATATATATATAAAATGCATTTCTCTTGCGTCTAGGTGTACAAAGAAGTGAAATTTTTCTGGGTCATAGGCTTTGTGCTTATTCGGCGAACCAGTTTTCAAAAATGCTTGTATTAGTTTACACTTGCACAGCAGCATCTGAGAGCTCCACTTGCTTGCGTGCTCACCAGCATTTGTTACTGTGTGTCTCTTTAAGTTTAGCTTTCCCGATGGATATGTAGTGTACGGCATTGTGATTTTAATTTGGATTTCTCTGGTAATTATGAAGTATGAGCGCCTTTTCACTGGTTTAGTGGGCACTGGGACTTTCTCTTATATGAAGTTCCTGTTCAAGTCCCAATTTTCTAAGGGTTTTTCTGCCTTTTGATTTGAAGGAGTGCTTTATATGTTCTGAATACAAAATATTTGTTTATATCCCAAGAATGGAGAAGCAAGAATCAAATGTACTCAATACTAATATGAAGCCAGTGGACAATCTGATACACACCCACATAAGAGAAAAACTCAGATCAATTCAAGGTGGGGGGCAGGGGAATGAGGGAGTAGGGGGAAGGTGGGGGCAGATGTGTACAAGGTTAGAGTGTATGGCACAATAATAAGAGGGAGTCTACTTAACAAATGCAAACATTGTAACCTAATTCTTTGTACCCTCAAATTAACCTGAAACAGTAATTTTAAAAAATCAAAATATTTCTCAGATATATGTATTACAAGAATCTTTTATTTTGTGTCTTGCCTTTTCACTTTGGTAGCATTACGTTTTGATGAGAAGGTCTTAATTTTAAGGTAGTCCTGTTTATCAGTTTTTTGCCTTTATGATTAGTACTTTTTGAGTCTTGTTGAAGAAATCTCTGCCTGTCTCAGCAAGATCTTTAAGAGATTCTCCTATGCTTTCTTCCAAAACTTTATTGTTTGATTTTTAACATTTGGTTGTTTTTATCAACTAGAGTTGATTTTCATATATGGTATGAGATAGGGGGTCAGGATTTTTTTTTTACATATGAGTATCCAGTTGTTCCAGTAGACCACTCTTTCTCCTGCTGCTCATACAGGGTCACCTGTACCATGAAATCAAGTCTAGGTATACATCTGTTTCTGGACTTTATACTCTCTTCAATTTGTTTTTCTTTTCTTGCATTACATACCCTAATATCTTGATACTACAGATGCATATTTATCTTTATATTTGGTGATATAAGTAAAAAGAGCTTTTACTTAATGAGGATTTATCAGAATATATTAGATCGGAGTTATAAGAGCTGCAAACATCTTATTTAAAATTTTTAGTCATCAGCTTTTATTTTAGTAATGATCTTTAGAGTTTCTATGTAGGATAGATAGCCAACACTTTATACAGATAGCCACAGCTAAATATTATTTTTTATTTTATTATGTGAATAAAACTTTATTTCAAATAACTATAGTGTCTATTTCAAATGTCTGGTTTTAGATATGATAATATTGTGTTAGATTTCTTTTTATATTTGGTTTTCTGTATAATTTAATTTTCCCACAGGATTAAATTTTTTGTTTTGATATTTGAAATACAACTTTATTCTGATTCTAAATGAAAAGGAATAGGAATGACAATGACGAACAAGATTTCACCACTGGATATTATGATGTGACTGTAGTCGTCTTATATTTGAAACTCAAGAAGGAATCAACTGTTCCAAACAGCTAAATATGCAGGTCCAAACAATGAAGGTAGTTTTTTAAACTGCCACATTCACTCCCAAGCCCATTCATCTCAGCATCCCAGATGCTGGATAATAAAGTGGCACATGCATGCTGCACGGCTGACATCCCAGGACAGCCTATAAAACTAGACTTTTGACGCTGGGCTCCAGCTTCATTCTCATGGGTCATCATCCTCATCCAGGAGCGCAGTTGTCTGAGCAACCTCTAGGTCATGTTCATATTGTGCTGCCAGAGCTGGGTCCATGATCACCTCTGGCCGGGCAAGAGCAGGTGTGGCAACAAACTCCAAGTTAGGGTCTCCAGTGAGCTCTCCAGCAAGCCAGAGAAAAGGCTTGTCAAAGTTGTAGTTACTTTTGGCAGAAATGTTGTAGTACTGAAGATTTTTCTTCCAGTGAAAGACAATAGATTTTGCCTTCACTTTCCTGTCCTTAATGTCCACTTTGTTTCCACACAGCACGATAGGGATGTTTTCACATATTCATACCAGATCTCTATGCCAGTTAGGAATGTTCTTGTGAGTAACTCTTTATGTTACATCATACATTATAATGGCACACTGGGTCTGGATATAATAGCCATGTCTCAGTCTACCAAATTTCTCCTGGCCAGCTGTATCCCATACATTAAACTTGATGGGTCCTCTGTTGCTGTGGAACACAAGGGGATGGACCTCAACGCCTAAGGTGGCTACATACTTCTCAAATTCACCAGTCAAGTGGTGTTTCATGAATGCAGTTCTCCCAGTCCGACCATCACCAACCAGTACAAGCATGAATGGACCCGGGGCTCTCACTAAGTGGCCATCGCAGTATCCTGTGGAGAAAGAGTGTGCTGCATGCGGGCCAAGCAGGCCGCAGGCACCTGGCAGCTGGGAGCCCATGCCCCTGTGCTGCCTCTTTTTTTTTTCTTTTTTGAGACAGAATCTCATTCTGTCATCCTGGGTAGAATGCCATGGCATCGTAGCTCACAGCAACCTCAAACTCCTGGACTCAAGTGATCCTCCTGCTTGAACCTCCCAAGTAGCTGGGACTACAGGTACCCACTACAATGCCTGGCTAGTTTTTCTATTTTATTTTATCACTCAGTTACCTGGGGTTTGAGTGCTATCATAGCACATGGCGATCTTAAACTCTTGAGCTCAAGAGATCCTCTTATCTCAGTCTCCCAAGTAGCTGGGACTACAGGCCACCATCGCAATGCCCAGCTAGTTCTTCTATTTGTAGAGATGGGGTCTTATGCTTGCTCAGGCTGGTCTTAAACTCCTGAGCTCAGGCAGTCTACCCACCGTGGCCTCCTGGGATTACAGGCATGAACCAACCACCCCTTTGGGCAGGATTGAAAATTTTAGCTTTTTCGTGATTGTTAATATGTATTGCTATTTTACCTTAATAATGCCTGCCTTGTTCTTTCTACTGAGATATGTCTAAGTCTCTTTTTCCCTACTTTATTTGTATAGATCCAAAATGGAACAAATTTGATTCTTTTAATCTTTTTCTTTCTTTGCTTTTTTTTGAATGTTGGTTAGTTGATTGGTTGTTTTGAGACAGAGTCTCACTCTGTTGCCCCAGCTAGAGTACAATGGCATATTCATATCTCATTGCAACACCAAACTG